TGGGCTGCTTCAAGTGGCTGTAAAAGCATCTTGCCTGGGACCAAGTGCCCCTTCCAAACTTGCTTTACCTGTGGAAAAAGACAAGGAAAGCTGTTTTTTGTGTGAGCACCCTTTGTGTCTCAGTGTTTGTGATCTTGGGAATCCTCTCGAACCTCGAACAGTGGGAGATTATCTGTTGTCCTAAGATATGTAGGTGGAGATTGTTTTGATCTGTGTTTAAATCTTCCTTGAAAATGAAACTGATAGAAAAAAAATGTAAAAAAAAAAGGAAAAAGAGAAAAAAAGAGAAAAAGGCAATACGAAGAAAAGAAGGAAGGAAAAAGAGAAAAAGGGGAAAAAGTAAAAAAAAAAAAGAGAAAAACAGGAAAAATTAGACAAATAGAAAAAAAAGAAAGAAAGTAAAAAAGAAAAAAGAAAGAAAAAAGAGAGAAAAAAGATAGAAAAAGAAAAAAAAACAAACAACAAAAAACGTATTATCCTCACTCCGCTCACGTGCCAAGGGCCGCTGTGATCCGCCAAGGACTACAACTCCCGTGCTGCCCCGCGCGGCGCGCAGGCGCGGGGGTGGGCGTGCGGAGGCGTGGCCGCGCGCTGATTGCCTGAGGCTAAACGCAGTGCGCGCGCAGAGCACCGTGTTTGCTGCCGGAAATCGGTGATGGCGGCGGGGCCTGCTTCTGTCTGTGTGAGCTGGCACGGGGGGTGCGGGGGAGCGGGGCTCTGGGGATCCCCTCGGGGGCTGCGGGGAGCGCGGCTGTGGGTGGAAAGGCTGAAGGGCTCGGGAGGGTTTGGCGGGGGGGGTTCGAGGGTTCCTGAGGGTCAGAGCGCAGGGCCTTGGAACGCTCTCGGGGGCCGCGGGGCCCGGGAGGCCTCCCAAGAACCCGGATGTTCGATTCGGGTCCTCAGAAAGTCCTTCGGAAAAAAAATTCAAAAGCACCCAACCAAAAAAAGAACCCTAAAAAAAAGGAAAAGTGAGGAAAAGGTGAAGGAAAAACTGGAAGGGCCAGGATGATTTTATTGCTTTGCTTCAGTTTTTCCTTGGACTCCTCCTTCTCAGATTGTTTACTCCCTTCCTTTACAGAAAGCTCTTCTGCTGTTCTGTGGTTTTGGGATCCCTTAGGGGCTTTTAGGGGTGGCTGAGGAGGTTTTGGGGGGTCTCTGAGGGGGTTTGGTGTTGCGAAGGGACTTAGGGGTGAAGTTGAAGGTCCTTGAAGAGGTTTGGGAATCCCTGAGGGAGTTTTGGAGTCTCCGAGGGAATTGGGAGGTCCTGGGGGGCTTGGGGGGGGGGGTCTTTGAAGAAGTTTTAGGGGTTTTTAGAGGGATTTAATAAGTCCCAGACGGTTTTGAGGGTCCCTGAGGGGTTTTTTGGGGTCCCTGAAAGGGTCTGGGGGGTCTGAGGTGGGTTTTGCAGGTCACTGAGAGGGTTTAGGGGGTCCTGGGTGGAAATGAGGTCACTGAGGGGATTTGTGGGGTCCTTGAGGAGGTTTCAATGGGTCCAGAGGAGGATTTCTGATGGGATTTCAGGGGTTTTGAGG